AAAGAAAAACACCCCACTGGTAGAGAATACCAAAACTCCAAAGAAAAATTTAGAGGTGTAAGGGCAGTGCCTTTTAGTGGGTGTTTTGTTTTGATGGGTGGTTTTTTTTTTTTTTAGTATAAAATTTCTGTTAAAATGAAAAGCTATTTTTCCCTGAAAAATGATTGTTGTTGCTGAAGACAAGGTTTGTAAAACTGTACTGGAATCACCCTCAGAGATAGTTATTGTCTCCATAGATGGCAGAAAGTTTCATTAATGAAAACAAATACCTATATGTGATTTTAATTTTCATTAGCATGTTTTCTTTCTGGGTCAGAGAATACACTGGTGAATTCTCAGATGAAGTGAATTTGGAAGCTATTGGGCTTTTCGTATTTTCACCTGGGGTATGTACATTTTAATTCTGCACATAAATTTCATGCTTCAATTCTTATGATTCATAAACATGTTTCTTTCCCATGACGATATAGGACTGGACAGTGATTTAATGTTTCACGGACCAATTAAAAGTGATGAACTAATGTTTATTTGTTCTAGAATATCAAAAAGGCAGCCTATAATAAATCTGTTGTTAAAAAGCAGAAAAAATAACTAGCTTTAGTTATTTTCCCCATTTTGCCCATCACTGTGACTTCTACACTATTGTCTGTCTGTCTGTCTGTCTGTCTATCATCTATCTATCTAATTCTCCAATGAAACTTACCAATCACTTTATGCCCAGAGTTTTTGAAGAAACTGAGGCAATCATACAAGAAGCATCACATGAGACTAGATATGTAAACAGTGAACTAAATCCCACAGCATGACCCTGTACACAGTGCCATATGAACAAAAGGCAAGAGGCAATATTTGTTCCTTGAAAGAAAAAAGCCTGCAATGAACGAACTGCACATTTGAGCTGCACATTGAATTATGAGCAGATATTCACCTTGTAGGTAACTGATATTATGGAAATACATTGAGGAGAGCATTTTGGAATGTTACCATGGAAAAATAGTGTTATAAATGTCATGAATTCTCCTATGACAATTAGGGTAAAATAATTATCACCTCTGTTTCTTGATCCACGTTAAGTGTGACTTGACCTACTTAGAAAGAAATAAGATATTCCATTTTAGCCTCCTAATGCATTTGGATATTATAAACTATGAAATATCTGGTTCACAGATGAGAAATGGCCTCTGGTGCTTGGGTTAGAGTTATTGCCACTTGCCTGTGCTTGCTGAGTAATCTGTTGCCTGCTGGAAGGCTAACTTGTATAACGCCTGTGGTTCTCTGAATGATTGGCTATGGACATTTGCCAAGACATTGTCCTTTAACTGTAGGTGGCAAACTATTCAGGATGCTGTGCAGCTTAATCTGGTGTCTTGTGGAGACGCCTCAATTGGTCTTTGACTTTTGACAGTGTTATAGGCTGTGAGATTTGTAAGATGCAAACTTTGAAATTTTCCTGGTGACGACAGCCAATGAAACCCATCAGAACAGGCTGGCTGATTTTTCTGCCTCTAGCTTTATCAAAGCTGGCATTCATCAGACAGATCTCGGCAGTGCACACTCTGGATGGAATGTATCTGTGGATGAATGAGAGTCTGCACCTGGATCTCTCTTGATTTGGTGGTGCTGACAAGCTGTCTGTCTTTTGCTGCAGTATGCATTTTGCTTTTAAATGAAGATGTTACATGAATGTGTCTAGTGAGCTTCTGATTTTTTTTCAAATATGTGAACTCAGGCAATCCTTGCTTGCCTGTGTGAAATGTATCAGAAAAGTGAGCGTGACTTGTCTGCATACCGTTTCTCAAATGATCTGAACTAATAGAATTGCTGGCTATGGTTAAGTTATTGAGTTAGAGATGCCGACTGGCTAGAAAAGCCTTAATAACAGATTCCTGTTATGGGTAAGAGAAACAACAAAGATGGAGTCATATTTGCATAACTTCAAATCAGTAAAGAAAAGCATGTATGAACAAGGGGAGTCTACGAATATGACACATACAATAACCTTTAGAAATTGTGTTGAAGTTGTTCATTGACAGTTTTGTACATATATATAATGCAGTCTAGTGACTCTCATCCTCTCTTACCTCTTTCCTGGCCCCATTCAACCTCCTACAAATCCCCTTCTCCATTCTCTTTTGATTGTTTGCTTGCTTTGTTTATCCAGAGCTGTGTGTGTGGTTATGGGTTTGGAACTATTCATTGGAGCCTGGTTGGGTTCACAGTGGATATCAAGTTTAAACTTCTAGCATCTATTCTTAACCAAGATGTCAGAAGAGAAGGTAGGACCCCATGATACTCACATCCCATGACTAACTGCTGTAACGATCAGTCTTGTGCAGGCCCAGGGCAGGTAGCTACTGCTGTGAATGTTCACTTGTGCAATCACTCCATCATGGCTCAAGGAGGGCATTTCACAGCTCTGCTCTGTGTCTTGTGACCCATGAATCCCTCCCAGTCTCTTTACTACCACATTCACCAAACTTAGTGGGGGCGGTATAAATGTCTTGCTTAGGGCTGGGTCTTCAACTGTACTTATCCTCAGCAACTGGAGCAGCCACGAGTCTCCTCATTCACTACTGTCAAGGCTGAGACTAGTACCTGTCTATATGTATAGGAATAAATATTCAGATGGTGGTTGCAAAAGTAACAGGATGCCCTCTAGAGACTTTGCCTTCCCCAGCCATGGGTTTTGACTGTGTTTTAGTATCAGATGTGAGTAATGTACAGTGGATTATGTCTCAAATTCAGAGAGCAGTTAGTTGCCTTCTAACAGTGATACCACTGTTGATAATCTTGCAATGTAGTTTTCTCTGAGAATTTTGGTTTAGGAGCTTACCAAGAAGAGCATTTTGTTTTTAAGCTTGCCATAGCTGGGTTTTTTAACTTTGCTAATTATTTAATTATTCAGTAATGTTAAGGTTCTGTTTTACTTCCCAGAGGGTTGAGAATGATGAAGTATAAATTTATGAGTAAGCATTATGATGGATGAATGTTTCCTTATACCACTGATTCATAAATCAGAATGTTCCAGATAAGAAGTACAAAAAGTTAATCATAATTTTTACCATTTTAAGGATTTTATCATATTAACAGGGACTACTATATCAGGTTTTCTTTGGGCCCTCTACTGTCTAGCTATTGGTTGTTCAGACTTTTATTAGACCAGTCATAAACAAATGAAACACATATTTGCCTATTTAGAGTAACATTCTGCAATATAATATATCAGTATATCCATCTTCTCTTAAAAACCACATAATTTAAGATAATTCATATTTTTAAATGATAGAGGGGCAGTTGCATGTTATGCAATCCATTAGAAATTCTCAAAAGATTTTTTTTTAAATTTCAGTGTCCACCTTTCACAATTTTCAGATTAATATAAATCATAAATTAACCATGAACTGGCTACATCTCTACTATCTTGGAAATCGGATTGCATTTTATTCTTATGGCCAATTTGTCTCTCCTAATAAATGATTCCATTTCTTCATGAGGAGTTTATCTAGGACTCAGAAGGGAGCCCATGGTAGATGACATTTATGTTATCTCAGGCTTATCACAATGAATCTTACATAATAATCCTGGCATTTTTTTCAACAATGTATTCTTCCCCATTTTTGTATCTGTGACTGAAACCTTAATCTTTTCCATGGATTTCCTATTATAAAAAACTGATTTTGTTTTATGTGAGATTCTTGCTTTCAGAATATCCTTTTCATATCACATGATAATCTACGAAAACTATCTAACATACTTCACAGTTTTCATAATACTTTCTTTACTATAAATCAACTTTTATGACAGCCATTTGTTGGGTTATATTATTTATGATTTATTAAAGCTTGCCTGAGGATTCAGAAAGCAAAGTCAGCCACAAGCAGTAGAAGCCAGGCACAAATCTTTAATCCCAACAGCCAGAAGCTAGGAGGTGGTGGTACATACCTTTAACCCTAGGACTCAGGTTTAAGAGGTAGAAGGATCTCTGTGAGTCCAAGGTCACCCAGATCTGCACAAGATTGTATCAGTGTAAAGAGAATTATAGGTCACACATTTAATCCCAGAACTCATGAGAAGAATGTAAAACAGGAGCAAGAGTCAGTATCAGGCATTCATTCTCCAGCCACACTGAGGAGAGGCAGCAGCAGCAGCCCATTCAGCCTGAGGTATTATAAGAGCTAGTGGCCCTCTGCTTTGCTTTGCTGATCACCAGCTTGAAGTTTGAACCCCAATATCAGTCATGTGAGAGTTGGTTGATTGATTGACACTCCTGTGTTGATGTGAGAACTTCCCAGCTGGTTGATCATCAGAAGTGATGGCTAACACTCAATAGTTGGTGGGCAAAAACATGTTCACTGAGGTGGGTTGGTGCTGAAGGACTAAAGAGAGGTAAAAATGGTTCTCCTGATCTGTTTTGTGGGGCTCGTTCTCTAGGGTTATAAAACAGAGAATCTCTCTCTAGATTCATTAAAATAATTCCAAAATCACAGTGTGGGAAAATACTGGTCTAAACCAAACAGATTCTTGAGAAGAAGTCGTCTCTTGAGCAATTCCTTAGACATGCAATACCCACAGAGATTGAGGGGAGAGAGCTTTCACTCATTGCTTATGGGCAAGGGCGGCATACAATAAAAATAATTCTTATTTTTTTTTTCTTATCAGTATATTCCCTTTAGGTGATCCCCATGTTATTTTTCCTTCCTTTCTTTTTTAACAAGTGCAGAATTAAATTTAACCAAGGCAGTGACAACCGCTTACGATGCTGGAGCTGAAAGGGAAAGATACTGTTTAAGTAAGTCACAGCAGGCTGTAATGAGATTACGTTTGGAGACATGGTTATTGGGAAGGCAACGGAGTATCTCTGAGTAACATGGATGCATTTTGTACCCACAAAACCCATGAAGGATGTGGTTATAGCTATGTCTCCAGTAACTGGAAAGCACCAGTGTAATTGCTCAACAGAAATCCAAGACTCAGATTAAAATCATTTTTTCTCCTTGCAGGCTGTGAGCCCATTCCTGTCCGTTACCTAGAGTGGAGTGACATAGAATCTATCATAGCCATCGCCTTCTCTTGCCTGGGCATCCTCGTGACTCTGTTTGTCACCCTCATCTTTGTGCTGTACCGGGACACACCTGTGGTCAAATCCTCCAGCAGAGAGCTCTGCTATATCATTCTGGCTGGCATCTTCCTGGGCTACGTGTGCCCTTTCACCCTTATCGCCAAACCCACCACCACATCCTGCTACCTCCAGCGCCTCCTGGTCGGCCTCTCGTCTGCCATGTGCTACTCTGCTTTAGTCACCAAAACCAACCGTATTGCACGCATCCTGGCCGGCAGCAAAAAGAAGATCTGTACCCGGAAGCCTAGGTTCATGAGCGCTTGGGCCCAGGTGATCATCGCCTCCATTCTGATTAGTGTCCAGCTGACACTGGTGGTGACCTTGATTATCATGGAGCCTCCCATGCCCATTTTGTCCTACCCGAGTATCAAGGAAGTCTACCTTATCTGCAATACCAGCAACTTGGGTGTAGTGGCCCCTGTGGGCTACAACGGACTTCTCATCATGAGCTGTACCTACTATGCCTTCAAGACCCGCAATGTGCCGGCCAACTTCAATGAGGCTAAATACATCGCCTTCACCATGTACACTACCTGCATCATCTGGCTGGCTTTCGTGCCCATTTACTTTGGGAGCAACTACAAGATCATCACTACCTGCTTCGCAGTGAGCCTCAGTGTGACGGTGGCCCTGGGGTGCATGTTCACTCCCAAGATGTACATCATTATTGCCAAGCCCGAGAGGAATGTCCGCAGTGCCTTCACCACCTCCGATGTAGTCCGCATGCACGTTGGTGATGGCAAGCTGCCCTGCCGCTCCAACACCTTCCTCAACATTTTCCGGAGAAAGAAGCCGGGGGCAGGAAATGCCAAGTGAGTTGTCAGAACTCTCTCTCTCCCTCTCCCTCTCCCTCTCCCTCTCCCTCTCCCTCTCCCTCTCCCTCTCCCTCTCCCTCTCCCTCTCCCTCTCCCTCTCCCTCTCCCTCTCCCTCTCCCTCTCCCTCTCCCTCTCCCTCTCCCTCTCCCTCTCCCTCTCCCTCTCCCTCTCCCTCCCCCTCCCCCTCCCCCTCCCCCCTCTCTCTCCCTCTCTCTCTCTCTCTCTTCCTTCCTCCCCTCCTCTCTCCCTCCTCCTCTCTTTCTCCCTGCCTCCTTCTCTCCCGCTATTAGCAGATCTCTGTTTCTGAAAGTTTTCAAATCTCACCGTTGGAATAGGGATATAAACGAAAAAGTGCTCTGCTTTTCGTTGCTTTGCAACAGCCAGAATCATGGAGCAATGCTGACCACAGCACATCATTTTTTTTTTTCTAGAGGTCCAAACTACAGTTCTGTCAGCAACATCTTTGCTGTTATGTAGGTTCCCAGTCTGTAGGGAATCAATATGGACAGGTCCTGGGTCAGAGAGGCAAACAGCAGTTCTAAGTGAAAGTTTAGATCGAGGTTGAAGATAATGTCCAATTTATTTTTATTCTGAGAACACACTTTTAGCAATCTGAGGGAGCTCACCCTGGGGAGAGCTCCATTTCAAAATTGGTTTGCAATGGAGCATAGAGCAAGTTCTGTTATGATGTCCCCGAAGCATCTGCCTTATCCTACATCCCTTATTTATTAAACTTTAACACATATTGTAATGAACATGTTCCAGTGTTCCACATGAACTGGGGTGTCTTCTCATTGTAATGAAAAGAGTAGGTTTTTAGTCCAGTGAATAAGGAGCCCCAAACTTGAACATCAAAGTACAAATCATTTGTATTCTAGTAATTCTGGGTAATTAATTTTCCATGTAAATGTTTCACTGATTTTATTAAATATACCATATTTCAGAGACTTATGAAAACATATTTCATGCAGTATTTATAATTTTAAAAGGTGACATGGGCAGGGCAGTGATGATTTACACCTTTAATGGCAGCACTCAGGAAGCAGAGGCAGATGGGTCTCCGTGAGTTTGAGGCCAGCCTGGTCTACAGAGTGAATTTCAGGACAGCCAGGGTGACACAGAGAAACCCTGTCTTAAAAAACAAACAATCAAAAATTTAAAAAATGACATAGATGCACCATTATCAGGCTTAAGTGTGCTCTTTGGGATGCTCCTAAAAATAAATGTTGCATCATATATGGCATTTTATAACCACCACATTCACGTAAGTCGACTAACAGGTAAGAGGATGTCGCTTTCCTCCCCTGTAGCTAAGGAAATGAACTTGCTACAAATTTCTGTAACTTTTAAGTGTAAATCCCTTTAGCCTGTTTTAAATTGGTATAAAATTTATCTTAACATATATCTAAAACTCTATATGCATAAAGTTCTTTATTTTTAAAGCCACACCTGGACTTCTTACAGAAATTATAACCTGTGTCTGTGATGCAAAATTTAGGGGGGAACCTATGAAATTCATAGTCATTAACTCAAATGAAAACATTCCTAACCCTTAGCAGCATTAGAACAGAGCCAACAATTCATGCTTATTTCTCATTTCAAGCCCGTGATGATCTCCTGGTCATAAAAGGTGCCTAGTAATGTTTTTCTACTTGTCATGATCTTTCTTCTAGCCAGTGTCCCGTCGACAGCGACTTCCCAATAGTTCTTAGCATGACAACAAAATATAAGTCTATTGCATGAGCAAAGAGGTGACAGAAAGGAAAATATCAGGGAAGAAGACACCCTTGAAGCTAGGGAGGTAGGTGGCTTAGTGGTTAAGAAGACTTGTTGCACAAGCATGGCAGCCTGAGTTTAAAACAAAACAAACAAAAACCCCAGCACTTGTAAAAAGCCAAGAATGTCTGAGCACCTGTAAGCCCAGGGCTGGATGATGGAGAGAGGCATAAGTAAAGGAGGATTGATAAGACTTTCCAGCTTCCAGCCCTGCTCCAGCATCAGTGATAGATCCCAACAAGGGTATAAGGCATGGAATACTAGAGCAGGGTGCTAAACATCCTTCTCCACTCTTCTGGTTCCCTCATACTCTCACAGGCTTGAGTACCCCCTTATACAGCTGTTTACATGCCAAACACACTCACATAGTCACATTCACACGCATAAATGGACATACACATACATAGACACACATGCACACACTGGGAGGGCACTTTAAACTGGAACGTCCACAGGCAGTAAGTCATAAGGATTCCTTTCTTCTACCACCCAGCTTCATGTCTCTGCATTTATTTTACGGCCTAAGGAAATGTCATGGTTTTTGGTCATGCAGCATTTCTCAAAGTTATTATTCTGAGAATCTATGGGATTGAAATATCTCATGGTGATGTCCAGGAATGTGATTTCCTGTGGATATATGGTAATGCTGTGCAAGAGAACTGTGAGTAATGAGTCTTATGCTTGTTGCTGGGGTGCAAAAGGGCTCTGTGGCGTTATATGAGTGATGCCTGGCACTTTACGATCAGCCAGGATCACTGATGAGTCTTATGCTTGTTGCTGGGGTGAAAAAGGGATCTGTGGCATTATATAAGTGATGCCTGGCACTTTACGATCAGCCAGAATCACTGTGTGTTTGGACCAGACTTCCACGCCCAAAGTGCTTTTCCTATAATTTGAGAAGACTCTTTTCCCAATCATGAATTTAGAAATTAATCTCATTTTTATTCAAAGGAGAGTTTGATGTAATCTAAGCTGATTCGGTTTTCCTGGAAGAGGTACTTTCACCAGTGAACTATTAGCTACAAACTATCAAGTGTTATCCGAGGGCTTTGTTGATAAATTTAGTTCTAATTAATAATAATAACTCACAGCTTTCTTAGCATAATTTGTAGCTTCTTCAATATGTTCCATGCAAATGAGTTGACCCACAGTGGGTAACTTGGGCTATGTTGCTGTGGAAAACAATACTTTGATTATTAATTTTTTCCCTTTATTCTCTTCTTGCTTCTGTTGTAAGTCTCCACAAGACTGTAATTTTAAACCATAACAATAACCTCAGTGCCTATGTGTTTTTGCCTTTTTTATTGCCATTTTCCTTGGTTTGTCTCCAAAGTTACAAAACCATAAACAGTCTAATATATTCTGCAGCAACAACAACAACAACAAAAAAAAACTGGCAGTTTTGCAACTAAAGAAAGGGGTTGAAAACTCTCGCTAATGTGTCACCCTATGAGTTTATTGCCACTCTGAACCTGCAGTTCCTACATTTATGGCTGGCTGAGGGTGTCTGGCAGTCTGTTCAGCCACCATAACGAACAGCTTCCACCTGGTATATGGTTGTTTTGGGGGACACAAGTCCAGAGACATTCTATTAGCAGCCTGTTCCTGCAAATACACAAGAGAGATCATGGCACATGGTTGATTTTTGGCAAGTTTATTTAAATACTTTTAATTTTAGTCATAGTCAAATGTCTGATAGAAGTGACATTTGGATTGCTCGCTATGCATTTTCTGGAAGAAAACTTAGGAGGGGTTTAACCAATACATTTTACATACCGGTTTAGCTATTCAGTCCTGTGTCTCTTTTATTTTAGTTTTTGTTGCAAGTCTTTGAGGCATAACCTAACTTTAAAGGCCAACTAAAGTGTATTTGCCTTTTATATCTCTCCTTAGCTGTGTCCTACAGATTTATTTAGTCAGAAAGTATTTAATCCTAAGCTAATATAAAGGTATCAGAAGTTTTCTCCTTTTTTTTCACCAAAAAGTCATTGTTTGAACACAAATTAAGAATGACTTTCTGTTGAGGCAAAAATGATTTGACATTACTTCACTAAAGGAGTAAAGCCACGAGGTAAATGGCATACTTATTTTAAAACAATTATGCTAATAGCACTGTTCAGTTATTTTTTAAATACACTAAAATTAACAAAGTATCTTAGGTTTGCATACAACCGATTTTTTTTAAAGGCATTTTTTCAATTGAGGTTCCCTCCTCTCTGATGACTATACTTTGTGTCAAGTTAATATAAAAGTAACTAGCACATACGACACTAGCTGAAGATAAAATGAAGGTCAGTTTGGCAGTTCATGGAGCTGAAAAGTTACAATACACCTCTGGGCTTTTGCATTTACATAATTGGGCATAAAATGAACTACAACCACAAGAAAAGTATGGAGCTGATACATGAGTAATATTAGCGCAGATTTTCTTATACAAGCTGATTATTACGTTTGATGCAATGTTTTCCAAGCATTCACATATTTTTGTTTGTTTGGGGTGTTTGTTTTTTTCCAAGTTTGAGAGCCAATTAAAGTACTGCATGGACCAATGCTATGAGAATATCCCTCCTCTTTTCACTCCTGTGATGGTTAGTTTTGATTGACAACTTAACACAACATATAAACTCTCTGGAAGAGAGTCTCCATGAGGAGTTGTCTTAATTGGGTTGGAATGTGAATGATTTCCTTGACTGGGTAAGTAGATTGGGATAACCCACTCTGAGTGTGGAATTCTACAATGTGTGGTCACTCAGAGTGACCACTGGCTCAAGAGCAAGGAGCAGGAGTGATCCCAGGAAGATGAGGATGAAAACACCACATCCTTGCCTTATTTTTCTTTTCTAGCAAAGGGCATATTGAATACTCAAATGGCACACAAATAGCTACTTTTAATATTCACTTTTTTTTATTTTGAGTTTTATAATGACACAATGAGCAGATTATACCATGACTTTAAGCAGAGGATAATCCAATTTGAATACAGGTCACCTTTTATAATTCTTTCACATTTAAATGAACTTGTGTGATTGAGACATTCACCTTCCCCAGTGTAAGACCTTGGGCTCGTTTGCCTTGGGCTCATTTGTCAGCAATATATATGGCCTAAAATTAACTTAGAAACAGGCTCATGAGATTACTTGCAATGGTCCAAGATAGGCACATTTATAATACCACGTTGCAAACAAGGAACAGGCTTGGAAAGGTCAAAGCCATTCTGATA